CCCAGTCAGCTGTGGGACTTAGAGAACTGGGGATTTAAAGCCAACTGAAAGCAGGTAGCTGGGAGGGAGAGTACAAAACAACTGGTGTGATGAGACAGGCCAGCTGCATCTGGTGGCAGATCCTTATCGTTATTAAAGCTGGGTTCCTGACCTCCCGGAGCCTTGGAGACCACGTTTCTTATTTGTTTGATGGCTGCGTTTCTGAGAAGGGCTCTTCCATCCTCCAAAGATGCTTTTGAGCAGCTAAACATCCACGTTTACAATTGTTAGCCCTTCTTTAGTGAATGCCTAGCACGTGGTTGTGCTCACTAGTCGAGGGCCTGCCTTTGTAGCGGCTCCTCTCTGTTAGCTGTACTGCTTTGCTTTTGCACATTAGTGCTCTGCGAGGTCCCTGGTCTGCCTGATAGGACATGGTTTCCTAGTCACAATACCACGGGGGAACAGGGAACTCTGGGAGGAGGGAGTGGCCCTAGCATGTTTCAGCCCTGACAGAAATGCGCAAGGCCTCGGTGGACATGAAGAAGGTAGGGTCGGAGGAGGCAGGTAGCTTCCAGGAGAAACTGCTCCAAGAGGGGCAGGTGTGCTCAAGGCCGTGCCTGACTATGACATCGTGGAGGGGACGCAGTCACCTCTAGGCTCTCATCTGGCTTTGGGTCCTGCCCCACCTGATACAGGAAGGCCGCTTCCTGTGGTGACTTTGGAAGGAAATGCCAGAGAGCCGTTCTTACATGAGGCTAGCCTCCTTGTGCCTGGGCTTACTGGGGTCCAGGGTTAGCTGTACATGGCTGAGAGAGTGCAGTAACGTAGTTTTCTTCTTCTTCCTTCTAGTCAGTACTTAAGAGAGGACATTGAAGTGTGCTGACTTGAGAGGAAGGAGAGCACATTAGCTCTTTGGGGATCAATTCAGAGGCTCATCCTCAGAGCAGGAGTCTGCTGAGCCACACATATGACCATGGGAGTCACAGTCTTCCTGTGACCATGGGAATCAAACTTGAAAAACAGAAAGGGTGGCCGAGACTGAAGAAATGGCTTAGTGGCTAAGGGCACTTGCTGCTCTTCCAGAGGACCTGGGTTCCATTTCTAGAACATCCAGCAGGTGGCTCACATCTGACCCGAACATCTTAGCCATTCACACACACACACACACACACACACACACACACACACACACACACACACACACTCCAGAAACATTTGTGTAGTGTTTGGATCATGGGTGGCCTGTAATGATATTAATACAGTAGTGGGGCAGTGGTATGGCTCTTGCCTGGCCTGCAAGGGGCCCGCCAGTTCCAGGACATCTCACAGAGCAGCCTAGGTGGGAGCTGTAGAGAAGCCACCATCAGGCTACCTCTAAGGCAGAATGACCTCTAGGCTCTGACAGAAACTTTTAATAGGCTATGGGTAAATTAGCCTTTGAATCTTTACTATGTAGTCATTGTTTTAGACAGTCTCTTTACTTAGTCCAGGCTGGTTTAGGATTTGTGAGCCTCCTGCCGGCCTCCCCATGTGGATGTGCTGTCGTGCTTGTCTTACAAGGCCTTTCAGAGAAATGATGTAACCAGTACCCAGGGATCCTCGTTATTTGGTCTCTGAGGGTAATTTTCACAAAAATGGCAGATCATTTCCCATGCGTACAAAGTCATCAGCCTCACCTCATGGACATGTCTCATCCCAAGCCCTGTCACTAACACCTAGACAGTAGTGGTAAAGGAGGAGACCCAAGGCTTCAGAAATTAAGTGTCGAACGACCCAACACAGCAGGGGCCCAAGAGCATTCTCTGGAACTGGGAATCATCCCACAGGTTGTCAAGATGGTGTCACCCCGACACAGGCCAGCTTCTGGTATCTGAGGGCAGGCGCAGACTGTGTGCATTGTAGCCTTAGCCTCCCTGCCTCCATCACTCACCAACGATCTCTTCCTACCTCAGGTTTCCTTAGGGAACAAGGAAAGAAGCAAAGGCGTGTTCTACAAGGCACTCCAGAGCTGTCCTTGGGCAAAGGTAAGCTTTAAACACTGACGTCGTCTTCAGCTTCCCAAGGACCTTCCAGCCCGCCTCTGCTCAGCAGTGTCAGGGTGCGGCTTTGCCAAAGCCTTGTCCTAGCGACACTGTCCTGAGATGGTGCTCCATGCGGTTAGCGCTTTCCCAGCGTTCTCCTACAATGCCCAGATGCCCATGTCCTACCCAGATGAAGAGGCGTTGGTAAACCAAACCGAGGGTGAACTGTGGCGCTGACTCTGCTGGCCACGTCCAAGTGAGCGCTTCACTCTGTACTTCCTGTTTACGGCCATTTGCCGGTTCCCCTGGACATGCAGCGCTGCCTGAGCGAGGCAAGTCTCCACAGGCCGCAGAGTGACGGGACTCCCTGGGACCCTCCATGATCTTGCTCTGTGCTCACAGCCAGTGTTGTCTTTCTCTACTGCTAGGTGCTGTACATGGATGCCATGGAGTACTTCCCAGACGAGCTGCAGGAGATCGTGGACTTGATGACTGAGAAGGAGCTTCGTGTACGCCTGCCCCTGGAGGAGCTGGACCTACTGCTGGAGGACTAGCATACACCCCGGGGCAGTGCTGGTCTGCTGAACAGCGAGGACGAGGGCCCAGAAGAGCCATGGCTGTGCAAGGGCTTTCTTAACTGTCTGGCTGGGGTTTGGACTGACTGTTTTACATATTGTATATGTGGCCAACTATCTGTACAGATGGAGTCGTGCCAGTGATAAACCTTTTGTGCTTGTGTGCAGCTTCGTATTCCTTCTCTAAGCCCCCTGCTTAGTCAGCGCTTGCCTGGCACACTGCATGTGTCCATGATCCTGTCACAGGTCTGGCTACTTGCCATGGAGACCTCCCCTTTCCCTGGGCTGGTGAGCAGAGATTGTTCTTTATCTTCCACCCAGCAGATGGTTATTTAAACGTCTCCTGTCTTGCTCTGGTGACCAGCAGCATCCACAGGGACCTTTGGGTCTGCGTGGCACTGCTCAGAATCTACCCTCCATCGGAATCCAGGTGCCCATGTGCTCAGTACTGTGCAAACCCTCAGGCAGGGCACCAGCACCCTCTGCAGGAAGCTTGCTGGTGACCTTGGAGCAGGCTGAACCATGACCACAGCTGCTCCCAGTTGACCCGAGCTCGCCTTTTTGATCAAGAAGGCCATGAGAACGCAGTCATTTTTACTGTGGGGGAGCTCCGCAGCACAGCCTTTCCTGTTAGCCTGGCTGAGAAGCTGGCTTGTCTTGCAGGGATACCTGCAGGGAGTAGAGCCTCTTCCTGGCTTTTTCAAACAGGGTCTTCTGGAGTCCAGGCTGGCCTTGAACTCTTGCTTCTGCCTTTGCCTCTATTAATACTGTTTATTTTCTGTGTATGTTGGGATTTAGATACATGACCTTATGCTGTCCTATGATTGCTTCTCACTCTTCCATGTACTTATTTCTTACCCTTGGTCTTCAGCACTCCAGCCAGGTGGCATCCTCAGTGCTGAGTTTTGATGCTGTGTAGTTTCTCATAGATATCCATCTCCACACAAATAAATTGCACCCACTCTGCACAGGGCTACCCACGTATAGCCTTTGCTAGACAGAACTCTTCCCCAACCCCGTGATAGCCACACCCTAAACCTGGAACCTGTGAATAACCTATGGCGTGTTGGTGCAGGCCTTTAATCCTGGCACTCAGGAGGCAAAGAGAGGCAAGGGGGATCTCTTGAGTTCGAGACCAGCCTGGTCTGGCTACACACACCTTGTCTAAAACAAAATAATTCAAAAAAAGCGAGAAGGCTGTCCTGGGTTATCTGAGTATGCCCAGTATGGTCATGAGACTCTTGGAAAGTAGAAAGGAACAGACACAGGAAGATGGATGGGAGTGGCCTCTACAAGCTGCAAAAGGTCCTCAATTGACAGCATGTGCTGACCTGGGCCCTACAGCTACAAGGAGCTGAATTCTGCCAACCTGGACCTCGAGGAAACTGGATTCCCTCTTGAGCTTCCAGAAAGGAGCGCAGTGGATACCAAGATTCTAGCTTTTTGAGTGGTCTCTTGACCTGTGAACTGAGATAAATGTGTATTGTTTAAACTAAGTCTTGGTGGCAACAAAAAAAGGAACACACCTTCTTCTTACAGGCCACCTGCTGCCTGTGGCTCTGAGGAATCATCTATTTAGAAAGGAAATATAGCTGGGCGGTGATGGCGCACACCTTTAATCCCAGCACTTGGGAGGCAGAGCCAGGCGGGTCTACAGAGCGAGATCCAGGACAGGCACCAAAGCTACATGGAGAAACCCTGTCTCAAAAAACAAAACAAGTGCTGCAGTTTCTGAACCCAGAACAAAGGCAGGCACAATTGGGATAAGATCCTTCACTGACTAATTTTCGGGATCCTCAGCCTTTTGAGAACATGTATTGCCCACTATGGAGCCCTGCAGTCCACACAGCAAACTGGTCTCCTGAAAAACAGCCACATTAACTTAGCCTTTACTCTGCACAGACCACTGGCCCCGTGGCTGTCTGAGGCACTGGCTTTGGACACATGAAGGGTGCCCTTGTGGTGCCAATAAGCTTCCCTAGTGCGGGATCCTCCTGTCTGCGGCAGGGAGCTGTGGGCGTGCAGCCTCAGAGCAGCTGTCAAAGTGCTGCTTATGCTGACTATTGTCAACCTGACAGAAGCTAGAGTCATTTGGGAAGACAGAACTTCAACTGAGAAAATGCCTCCCCTCCATCAGATTGGACTACAGGCAAGTCTGTTGGCATTTTCTTAGTAAGCGATTATGTGGGAGGGCCCAGCCCACTATTGAGTGGTGCCATCCCTAAGCAAGTGGTCCTGGGGTGTATAAGAAAGCAGACTGAACAAACTAGGAAGTAGCATTCCTCCAGTTCCTTTTTTCTGCTTCAGTTCCTTTCTCCAGGTTCCTGTCCTGACTTCCCATCGTGAGGGACTGTAAGCCGTGAGATGAAGTGAACTCTTGCCCCACCCCTCGTTGGTTTTGGTCACGGTGTCCATCACAGCAATAGAAAGCAAACCAGACAACCCTTTATTGGGAGCAGAGAGCAGCACAACACAGTGACCCACAGATGGAGATGCCTGATGGGCACCCTGGACAGCATCCTTCAAGATAGGCTCTACCAGCGAAACTCACTGGAAAAATGGATTCCTTGGGGCAGCTTCCCATCTTCCCAGGAGGGGAATTCATTAACTTCCCTGAAGGCAACCGTGGGTCACTAGAGATAGAGCCCCTCAGGGGTGCCTTCTTGCTTTTTATAAAGAACATTCTCTTTAGATTTTTTGAAGTCTTCATTTGTAACTTTCATTCTGCGTTCCCGCAGGGCCATCAAACCAGCTTCTGTACAGATTGCCTGAAAGAAAGAACAATATGAGCTGGGCTTAATAGGGCATGCCCTTAATCCCAGGCAGAGGCAGAGGCAGAGAGCCAGAGAGCCAGAGAGCCAGGGCTACACAGAGAAACTCTGTCTCAAAAAACCAAACCAAACCAAACCAAAAAAAAAAAAAAAGAACAGTATGTTCAGCCTGAAACACTTATTTTTATCTTAAAGAATTCAGAGAGATATTTTGAAATAAAGTATAAGACAGACTAAACACAAGTTGCTCATTTGGGAACAGGTTATTTTTTAAATGTCTCATGCATCATAATTTCTGAAAGAATCCAAGATGTATAAACTAGGAAGACTTTAAGGGAGAGGACTGGCCCAGGACCTGGAGTTCTGAGCTGTGGCTCAGGTTCTGACAAGCTGTGTGGTTTGGCCAGTCAGTAAATTCTTGTAGCTTTACTTTCATTAAAGATATTTCTAGGAGATGGAGAAAGTGATAGGCCCAAAGGCAGAGACTTGAGTGTATGCCCATTTTATTTACCTGGACTCAGAGCATATACATATTCCTGTTAGCTATGTTGGCGTATAGTAATTATTCTAATACATTGCCTCAGTAGTTCTTGCCCAAGTGAAACAAGAGCCCTTGTACACATGCGTTAAAATGTGATCCAGGGCACCGAGGAGACGGCTTAGGAGTTAAGAGTGCATGCTGCTCCTGCAGAGGACTGAGTTTGGTTCCTGGTACCCACTCTGGGCTCACAACCGTCTGGAACTCCAGCTCCAAGGACTCTGATGCCCTCTTCTTGCCTCTGCAGGTGCCTATATTCCTGTGCACATCCCCCCCCCCCCACACACATAATTAAAAATTAAATGTTAAAAAACAACTCCAAACAAAGCAAAAATACCACAATCCTGGCACTGAATGTTGTGTGGAAATGGTCAAATTATTTACTTTAAATGGTTCAGCCAAAAAGTAGGTGTGCATGAGGATAGGAAAAGGTTAGCCAATGTAGGTGATGGGCATGTGGGTATACATATACTTTTCTGAATGCTGGAAAAATTTTAAGAAAAGTTCATGTAGTGCAATTAAAAAGTAATTTCCAATGAAAAAGGAAAAACTAAGCTATTTAACTCAGTTCTGTGGGACTGATGCTAATGACCTTACTGCAGGCACTGGCCCGGAAAAGTACTCTGTGTGCCGCTTCTAGCTAACTAAGACACCCATGCTGAGGAAGATCCCGCTCCTTGAAGGAAAGGAGCCTGCACCACATTCATTGCTCACAGGCCTTGATATAAAGACTGGGCAGCCGAGGAGAAACGTACTAGCTCATTTGCAACAAAACCAACAGGTAAACTTGAGTAGCTCATCAATACAAGGTGGGAATAAGAGTGTATGCCCATTTTATTTACCTGGACTCAGAGCATATACATATTCCTGTTAGCTATGTTGGCGTATAGTAATTATTCTAATACATTGCCTCAGTAGTTCTTGCCCAAGTGAAACAAGAGCAGTGTCGGGGACCCTCTGCAGCTCTGGGGTTGACCTCTCCCAGCAGACACTTTCCTGGCAGAGGACTAAATAAAGGTCATTCAGGCCTTGTACAGTGGGTGGTAAACAATGTTAGTGACTGATCCTTGTGGGTTCACGGGGATGTGGTCATTTACTTCATAGATTAATGCATTAAATGACTTTGAATAAAAAGCAAATCTTCCATTTGGATATAATATTAAAGCCACCAAGTGACTCTGACAGTAAAACCGAGGCATCCACACACTTGGCCTAAGTGCCACCCCTAGAGTTTGCAGTCTTTCCTAAAAGGCCAAATTCCCAGAGGAAGCCAGCCCACCCAGTTACTCACCTTGATGTCAGCCCCAGAGAGGTCATCCTTTGCCATGATCAAGTCATCCAAGGTTACATCATCAGCCAGTGTCATCCTGCTTGTGTGAATCTGGAAGATCCGCTTCTTGGTCTTTTCATCAGGCAGAGGGAACTCAATCTTTCTGTCAATGCGGCCTGCAGGTACAAAGCTTTCAGCCACTTCCATCCAGACCCAGATGCTCCAATTCAGAGCCTTAGCCCACCCCACAGGTGTCAGACGATGATGTAGGGTGACACACGAACCCTAAAAAGTGAACACTCACTTCTGTGCTTTGTCAACATCTATATCTGAATTGACCCCCCTTAAGCCCCTGACTTGATACCTTCAGGAATAAACAAGGGAGATCCTGAATGGTATTAATGTCTACCTTAGAAACATTACAAAAGCTAGCAGCAAATTATGGCTTCCAGTGCTACCTGAATGTAAACAATAAATCATGGCCCATGACTCCTTAGGGATGAAAGCAAACGCTTGAGGCCAGAAATTCTGAGTATGGGGAGGAAAAGATCCCAGTGCAAAACTAGAATGAGGGATCTCAAGGAGACAGACTTGAACTTGTGTGTGTACATGTGGTGAGGATAACTTCAGGCACCTACCACCTTGTTTCCTGAGATCAGTGTCTCTCACTGACCTGGAGTTTGCCAAAGGCAGTTTGCTAGGCAGGCTGGCCCGCCAGCAAGTCCCACTATACCTCCTCAGTGCGGGGGTCACAGCTGCACACCATCACACCCACCTTTTGTACATGGGTTCTGCAGACAAAATTCAGGCCCTCCTGCTGATAGGCAGGCACCTTTCTAACTAGGCCATCTCTCCAGTCAAGTAGACATGTTTTTGGTAAATTATGCCGCACAATGGTATTTGCCATTCTGTGTACCATTGTATAACATCCCCCAAAGCACATTTCAATCACAAACTCATTAATTTTCTACAAGGAAACAAGAGCAAATTTGACCTGGTCTGATAAGTGCTGGATCCAAAGTTTCTATTCGGTTTGTAGCCATGATAACTTTTACATCTCCCCTTGAATCAAATCCATCCAACTGGTTCAACAGTTCCAACATTGTTCGTTGAATTTCTCTCTCACCTCCAGAGTTTGAATCGTATCTTCAGAAAAAGAAGAAACAAAGACCCAGCCATTCTGTTAAAAGCAAACACACAGCATGAAACTCAACGTTCTTTTCCGCCCCTGTCACTCTGTGCACCTGTGCTCTGGTCGGGACTTGCCTCTGAAAGTTCACATCTAACAATGGCCACTGTGATGGATGAGTGATCAATGCCTTCTAAAAGGGCTGGAGGAGCTGGCACGGGCCCTTTTTCTCGGCTGACTGCTGGATCGTTGGAGGACTGAGAACATGCATGATCCTGGGAGCAGAAGCAGCCCTGAGCACACGCTGATGCTAGGGCCCCGATCTTAGACATCACGGCCCCAGCACAGAGGGAAAATAAGCTTTTGCCTTTTGAATCCACCCAGCCATCGTGTTGTGTGCAGCAGCACAGATGAAGACACTTTCCAACCATCACAGATCACACATCTGCACAGCAACTCAGTGCCGCAGCTCCATCATTTTTTGTCTCCCTGTTTGGTGCCTGATGGCCCAACCTACTAACTGGAGGGCAGAGACTACCATCACTACAGCGAGCCCCCAGAGTCCGGATGGTACTGGCTTCATGCAAGGGCTATGACATGAATGGTCTCCAGACACTGCCTGGGTGGGTGCTTAAGGCCCATGGAGGTCAGAGAGTAAAATATCCAGAGGGCCGTGCACAGCAAGGACGTGCTACACAGGGAGGGCCTAACGTTGTTTTATCTCATACAACAGTTCAGGGCAAGTCTACCTTTTGGTCCCAATGGCATCAATTTCGTCAATAAACACAATGGATGGTGCATGTTCTTCAGCAACTCGGAACAGCTCCCGAACGAGTTTGGGCCCGTCACCCAGGTACTTCTGAATAAGCTCTGAGCCAACCACTCTCAAGAAAGTGGCTGAAGTTTGGTTCGCTACTGCTTTGGCCAATAATGTTTTACCTATTTGGGGTAAAAAGAATAAGACAAAGGAGAAAACCATGTAGCTGCTGTTAAGACCCCTCACCCTAATGGATGGACACACACCAGCAGCTGTCTGGTGCTCTGCTCTTCCAGTCTAACTACGTACTCTGACAGCTTTGAACTCTCTTAAAGTCATCATGATAACGTCAGCAAATACCTTTTACTTGGTTATTTTTTTTTTCTCATTAAAGAAATTGTGTGTTGTGTGTGTGTGGGGGGGGGGGCGCATGTGCATGGAGCACACGTGGAGGAGAGGATACCTTCACAGAGGCCTGTCCCTTCCACCTTCACACGGGTTCCGAAGATCTAACTCAGATTGCCAAGCTTGAGCAGCAGGCACCTTTATCACTGAGCCATTTTCTCAGCCCTACTTGGTTATTTTCACACCTTGAGCATAAAGGAGCCTCTAAAGCAGAGGTTCTCAACCTGTGGGTCGTGATGGGCCACACACTGGATATCCTGCATTATCAGATGTTTATGTTACGATTTATAACAGTAGCAAAATTACAGATATAAAGTAGGAAAGGAATAATTGTATGGTTGGGGTCACCACAACATGCGGAACTGCATTAAAGGGATGCAGCATTAGGAAGGTTGAGAGCCACTGCCCTAAACGATCATGATAATTACCTACAGAAGGAACTGTTCTGCACTAGCAACACAACAATCTGGTTTTTTTGGAAAGGAGTTTTTTCCTGGGTCCATTCTAAGTTGAATATAAATTTAATGCAACCAGACATGCCGGTACATGTCTAGAATCTGGCATTTGGGAGGTAGAGGCAGGAGGATTAGAAGTTGAAGGTCATCTTGAGCTATATAGTGAATTCAAAGCCAGCTTGGCCTTTATGAGGCCCTATGTCAAAACCAATGAATGAATAAACAAACACACACAAACAAAACAAAACTTAACCCATCCAACCCAAGACTAGAAGACCAAATAACTCCTATGGAACTATCAGTGATAAAATACTGTCTGGGAACCCTAGGCCTGACCCTAGGACACAAAGCAGTCTCCAGCACAGGCCACAGGGTCCCACTACTAGCAAGGTGGTACTGGGTGGGCTTGTGAGTGGCCCAAATACTGGAAGCAGGACCAGTCGATGGAGCCCACAGATGAGAGCTGGGGAAGGAAGCCCAGGCGTCGTATCAGTCTGTGGTATGCCCTTCCCAATGAAGGCAGTTCCTCTCACGGATCTCAAATGGTGTTTCCAATGTTGCTCTAGACCCTGGTATTTTCTTTCAGGTCACACACATTCACAAAACAAGTTCTCAACCTTGGCTGACTGTATACACTGAATTTACTTGGGAGCTCTAAGCAATGTGGATTCTGGTCCCAGTTCCAAAGACCAGTCACCAGAGCACTCAATTCAAGACTTAGAGCTGGTAAGACCGTGGCCCCCATGAAAGGGAGTGAGGAGGGCTGGGTGTTGGCTCAGGATGCAGAGGCAGAACTGTAATTGCCTAACGGGCCTTGGGCAGCTGGAAAATGACCAAGGGTCAAGCTTTGTGACAACATGTGGTAATGATGCTGTCCTTGGCCACGGGAAGAATGTCAGGTGAGAAGCCTTAGGAGGCAAGACTGTTCCTGGGAGACCAACCAGGGCGGTGAAGGCAGAGTAGCACCTCTTAAGAGGATGAGATTTTAGTGTCCAGAAGCAGCCAAGGAGGCTGCCGGCTTACAGGGAATCCCTGAACAAGCCCCGCCCCCTCGGACAGGCCTGCCCACCCAGCACCGCAGTGTCTACATTGCATTCACTACAAGCTGGTAGGCCAGCGCCCAGTGCTGTAGCTCCAGCCCTGCACCAGCTCAATGCTCTGTGGCCCTGGGCTCAGCACCGGCCTCTTGGTAGCTTTACTTTCTGATGAGATGAAGCAGAGTGGCGGCTTCTTCTAGCTTCAGGCTTCTGGGGGAAGGGACTTCTCAGTGCCTTGGTAGCTCTCACCACAGGTCAGTTAGCACTCACTGTCAGTCCTCTCAACAATGACCACTCTTGTTCTCATCTGAAGACTAAGCACTGCCACATACTGGTCTCTACAGCTCAGGACAACTAACTGTAATGAATTAAATGTGTATGCACTTTTATCATCACCCAACAAACGTTTACTTAGTACTACTGCACCAGTAGATAGACCTGATCCTCAGAAGAACTTGGAACGCCATCTCCACTATGGGTCTGAGGCTTGGCCATGCTCCAGATCAATGTGTGCATGCCTTTGAGGCTGGGACCAGCACAGCCAACCAAGGATGAGAATGTTTGTGTTGTGTGTGTACAGGGTGGTACAGTTGCTGGACTGAACCCGGGGCCTTTTGCATGCCACTCTCCCTCCCACCCAGTCCCAGAGTTAAGCTAAGGACCTGTGTGTGGCGTCTTATATTTTGCAGTGCTGCTGGAGATAGTGATTTGTCTACAGTGTCCAACATGGCATACCTGTTCCTGGTGGGCCATAGAGAATGACCCCCTTAGGGGGCTTTATCCCCATCTCTTCGTAATACTCAGGATGGGTAAGAGGAAGCTCCACAGATTCCTACAGAGAAGAAGTATTTGGTAAAAATGAAAGTCTAACTGAAGTGATTAGCATTATTTGACATGAAAATATCTTGCTTTCCATAAAATAAGTAGAAACCTCATTCTTTTAAAAGGAGATACACCTGACTTCCACCCGGGTAGGGCATGCTGAAGAGGCCATACATCTCCCTGGAGTTTTTATTACCTCCCTTTCTAGGCTATGCTGTTTCCCTTTTCTTTTCCAGAAGTCAGCCTTGAGCATCATTTAAGCCATTCTGGAGCAAAGTAAGACTGAAGAAAGTTAAAACTCCCTCTTTTTTGATTAAACTACAGCCAGAACATGGAAAGATGTCCTGACAGCTGTTCCCACCTAGGGTATTACATTATGTACTAGGTCCAGCTGTGTGGGATGTCAACCGTGGAGATCTGTGGTAGCCCTCACTGATTTCCCTATGGGGAGAGCAGGCAGAGAGCTGGCTCCCAGTCACCCCGAATAACCGCTTCTCCCCAGGCCCTAGGGTCACTCAGACACAGGATTATGTCCTCGGCCCAGCACTTGTGTGAGCCTGTGTAAGTACAGACACTTCCACACAACAGCACAAGTCGGCACAGCTAGGAACATCACGTTCTCACACAAAACTCACTCAACGTGAAATATGCAAAGTGTTAAAATGCTGCAGGACTATCACACAGTTTACTGTGACTTCTGATTCCTAACAGTACAGAACACATGAAGAGCCACAGCTGGAATTAATCAATAAAAAACAAAAACAAAAACAAACATGCAAATAACTTCAAAGCATCCTAAATTGGACAGCTATAAGAAACCAAAAGTCTGGAAACCCAGAGCTGGTCCCTTCCATACCTTAATTTCCTGGATTTGGTTGTCCAGTCCCCCAATATCTGCATAGGTCTCCTGGGGGGCCTTTTCCACCTTCATCACTGTGACCAGGGGATCTGTGTCATCCATTAGCACCCCTATCACGGCATGCACCTACAAAGGATCGAGTCTTAACATGTGACCATGAGGTCCCTTCACCCTGCTTGTGACAAGCAGTACCAGTTACAGTGTCTTTCTCCCCAGTCCTGTGAATGCTCTGGTGAGCCACTTCTGGGACAAACAACCAGGTCTAAGGAAGGACATACTCCTGTGGGTCTCCTCAAAGATCAGCAACTCACCTTGTGGTTGAGCAGGACTGAACAGCCTGGCTCCAGCAGATCCTTGTCCACAAATGATAGGATGCTGACGTAGTGTTCTGAGCCCACAGATGTGGACACAATGGCGTGATTATCATCAATGATCTCTTCCAAGGTTCCCACAGACATGGGAGTCCCCCTGAGATCATCCACTTTCGATCTCTCCTCCTAAATATAAACAAGAAGGAAAAGCATTGGCCCTCAAGTTAGATGATTCACTTGTCTGCTAGAGCTACAAAGCCGCAAACGCTTTCCTTTTTCACTTATTTGTTTTCTGTGTGTGGCATCTAGTGTGCAGAGACCAGAGAACTTGCTGAGTGTACACTCCTGGGTACCCAGAGAGCTTCTGGGTGGTTCTCTAGTCTCTGCCTCCTGTGTTGGGGAATATGATTTTAAGGTGTGTTACTTTTGTTTATGTTGCATTTGTTTAACTCTGTGAAGCTGTGTTACTGTGCCTGTCTAAAACACCTGATGGTCTAATAAAGAGCTGAATGGCCAATAGCAAGGCAGGAGAAAGGACAGGCAGGGCTGGCAGGCAGAGAAGATATATAGAGGGAGAAATCTGGGAGAGGAAAGATCTAGGGGCCATGCACAGAATAAGAGTAAGATACAGAAGTAAGAAATGGGAAAAGCCCATAGACAAAAGATAGATGGAGCTAATTTAAAGTTAAGGAAATGCCAAGCTAAGGCCAGGCATTCATAAGTAATAATAAGCCACCGTGTGTGTTTATTTGGGAGCTGGGTGGTGGGCCCCCTAAAGAGCAAAAAACCCCCAACAATATTCTGGCGTCAACCTGGGGCTCATATTTCCATAGCACCCAAGAAAGCTGGGGGGAAAAAAGATACAGCTCCTTTCAGAGGTGTTGCTGTTCAATTGGCAGCTCTAAATAAAAACGGCAAGCTAAGTACAAACCTCCTGTGGCAACACAGGAACTGGTTTCCACAGCTAGGACGGTTCAATGCAGTTTTCAGTCAGGAACCTTAAAGGGGCCGTGGGCTTTAGGTTTGACTTTCACAACCCAAGAAGCAGGCTGAGCCAGCTGAGAGCCGCACATGGAGTACCTTATCAGTCAAAGGTTTGCTAGTATGGTCAAAAAAGACTAGAGATACACAGTAAAAGAGGTCCAAACGGAAAAACCTCTAAACAGGTTACAGTGTGTTTAACAGTGTGTGTAGGCTTAAGAAAAGGAAAAGGGTATAGACATAAAAAAAAAAAAGAGTTTATAAAATAAAGTCTTTAAAGACAGAGTAAAAGAAAAAAGTCACACAAGATGGGAAATACACAGGCAGTCTGGATCCTGTATGTTATTGTGTTAATTTTGAATTTTTTGATTGTTGAAAAGCAAAGGGCAGCTGCAAAGAGACCTGGAATTGAAAGGACTGTTGAAATAAATCAGCCTACACACTTTAGGAATGCCTTAACTTTTAAAAAGTCAAAAAATATATTTGTCAGCCGGCGGTGGTGGCGCACGCCTTTAATCCCAGCACTCGGGAGGCAGAGGCAGGCGGATCTTTGTAAGTTCGAGGCCAGCCTGGTCTACGGAGCGAGATCCAGGAAAGGCGCAAAGCTACACAGAGAAACCCTGTCTCGAAAAACAAAACAAATATATATATTTGTCAAATGGAAATAAAAAATGCTTTGGAGTTTTGTTCCCACAGGAGATGAGAGGCTGTGGATTCCTTTAGGCTTAATAGGGATCAAGTTTGATCAGGTGAGACCTCCTGAATCTTGACAGGTGATATTAATCAGCAAAGATTGCTGTTGGTCTTCCTAGGACTTGGTCATTATCTCAAAATTTTCTTTCTAGGACCCTAAAGATACTTCATCCACAGACAGCAGGGAGCAGTATGGAGAAAACTATGCCCACATTCCCAAGAGTTAGGGAGTGTGGGTGGTTTTTGGTTATTTGATGGGTTATGAATGTTTGTTATCATTTAGGGGAATATAGAATATTGATACAAATTTAAAGTTATTTTTGTTACATTGTATATGTTTCTACTCTTGTTTAAAGGATTTTTGTATAGTGATAAAAACTTAAGGTTATTTTTGTCACAACATATTGTATATGTTTCTATTCTTGTTTAAGGTATTGAACCTATGCAGTTTATTTAAAAATGTAAGGTAAAATTCTAGTTTTTGAAAGCTGTTATTATAAACTATATAGGATAATCAGGAAACATAGGTTGGTGGTTAGTTATTTATAATCAAATTTGTAGATATGTTAGGTATGCTTTTCAGATCATATAGAGATATATTTTAGACAGATGGTCTTCAAACCTTTCAAAGATCTACAGAAAATGGCATTTAAAATGTTTTGTTAACTTAAAGTTTTTCAGTACAATGAGACACATCTGCTCCTGGCAGCACTAATTTACTTCAGAGATGATGATGGGCATTGAAGAAACTCCTTATGGAGTTTGCTTTCATTGTGGCAAGGTTAGCCACTGGGCAAAGAAACTGTTCTTGCCTTTGGCTGTTGACAATGTGCTGTGCAGACTGGACAGTCAGGACACAGAAGAAAGTGACTGTTGAACTTGGCCAATTCAAGGCAGGACAGTCCTTCAAATTTCCTGCTTCACTGAGAAGTCTGACAGATACTATGGGCCTGAAGGCTGAAGATGAATGCCCTAATGTTGCAGAGGAACTTTGGGTGACTGTCCAGGTAGCCAAATATCTCTGTTGTTAGATAATATTACATCCTTCTGGGTCCTGATGGAGTTGAAGACTAGATAGTTATAGTTGCAGTTTTCCTCAGTTATGATAGAAAGTAAGTTGGGTGTAAAACTTTGGATTCACTAAGATAGGATAGATAATGCATTATTTTCTCTGACTATGCTAACTACAAATGGACAGAATATTGTGAATATAATCCTTGATAATTGTTATTGCATATAGTCTTACTGTGTTTAAGTTAAAATCCTTTCATTTTTATTTAGACAAAAAGGGGGAAATGTAGAATACTATTTTAATGTGTTACTTTTGTTTATGTTGCATTAGTTTAACTCTGTGAAGCTGTGTTACTGTGCCTGTGTAGAACACCTGATGGTCTAATAAAGAGCTGAACGGCCAATAGTGAGGCAGGAGAGAGAAATAGGTGGGGTTGGCAAGCAGACAGGATAAATAGGAGGAGGAGAAGAAGGAGCGAGAGAAGGAGGAGGACTCCAGAGACCAGCCACCCAGCCACCCAGCCACCCAGCCACCCAGCTACACAGCAAGCTACAAAGTAAGAGTAAGATTTACAGAAGTAAGAGAACAGAAAAACCCAGAGGCAAAAGGTAGACAGGATAATTTAAGTTAAGAAAAGCTGGCAAGAAACTAAGCCATGCTAAGGCCGGGCATTCATAAGTAATAATAAGCCTCTGTGTGTGATTTATTTGGGAGGCGGGTGGTGGCCCCCCCCAAAAAAAAGAGCAGAAATAAATAACAATACTCCTGTCTTGTTATAGGGTGCCAGGATTACAGATGTGCACTTCACCTGGATTTCTACCTTTTCATAGGGTAACTTGGTTGCCAGGGTGCACGGCCAGTGCTCTTACCTGCTGGGTCATCTTCCGGGCCCAAAGCAGCTAACTAATGCTTTTAAAAGCTAGCCACTGAGAGGCCTGCAGAGGTTCAACCACCTGAATCCCACCTGATGACAGTGTTAGGTTCTAAATCACATTCAATTAGTAAAGAAGACAGTTCCAGAAACTTCTCCACTCACCTCTTGTTTTTCTTCCAATGGTTTCATCTGCTCCTGATTTCTAATGAATTCTTCCTCCATGAGAAGATAGTCTTTTATTCTCTCTAACTTCAGTAATTTTAGGCGGCACTGAGTGTGAGGCGTTACTGTAATTAAAAAAATAAGGCTTAATATATTTGGAACTTAAAAAATTTACAATAAAGTCTTACTTTATGCTCATCAGAAAGCCACTAAAAAGGGCTGGCAACATGGCTCAGTGGTTAAAGTGCTTGCTGCCAAGGCTGAAGACCTGAGTTCTATCCCTCAGAACCACATGGCAGAAGTACAGAACTGAGTCCTGTAAGCTGTTTTGACCCCCACACGCCCACAACTGCATCCGAGTGTACATGCATGCACATATGTGTACACAGACACTGTGATAAAGGAGCTGAAGAAATGGCCTAGCAGTGGACTTGAGCTCAGTTCTTAGTGCCCACATGGCAGCTCCAAACTATGTGCTTGGCACACACGCAGTACACCTATATACAGGCAGGCAAAACACTCATACACATAAAATACATCTTGAAAATCAATAAAAAATAAAAAGTTCAGGCACAACCCAAATTTTAATACCATAATACTTCATTTTGCAGAATGAAAATGTTTCTGAGACTGATTTGCACACTGTAGTTTCCATTGCAGGGCACACTTAACCCCTGTCCCCGGGAAGCTAAGGCAAGAAGATCATGAACCTAAGGACAGCCCGGACAGCACAACAGGGCCATCAAGATAAAGCTCTGTGGGTAAAGGCACTTGCTGTGCAAGCCCAATGACCTAAGTTCCATCCCCAGAAAAGTGACAGGAGAGAACCAACTCCCCAAAGCTGTCCTCTGACCTTTACAAGCACACTGTAGTGTGTGTGTGTGCCCCCTGTAAAGTAATAGAAAATTTACAAAGCAATAAATGACTTACATTTTTAATACCTCAGAGGGGTTGGCTATTTAAAGACAATGAATGGGATTTCTTTCTTTCTTTCTTTTTTCTTTTTTTTTTAGAAAGGGTCCCTCCATGTAGCCCTGGCTGGTCTGGAACTCAGTGACCTATTTGCTTGTCTCTGCCTCCTGAGTGCTGGGATTAAAGGTGTGCACCACAGTGCACTGTGAATGGGATCTCTTAGCATTAGACACTCTCATCTAACGTTGCATTTTCAGATAATACACAACTTCTACACTAACCCAGCAGAAGACTCCACAGGAGCTAAGGAGAACTGGGTTATAACCACAGCTCGGTGCTTCAGTCTCCCTACTTCCTGCCTCCCCTTTACACGCTATGCTCCATGCAGAGCAGTCTCCGGGAGCTAGGAAGACAGCAGAGGACAGGGTCATTACCCAGTGGCAGTTTGCTGGCAGCATCTGGTCCCTTGGTTTTCTTCTTCTTTTTCCCCACTCTGGTTGGGACAGGAGGTTCATATTTCTTTTTCTTGTCCTTGAGTTTTTAGACAAGTAGGAAAAAGAACACAAGGAAATTATAAAATGCATTTAATTTTGTATCACTACCATCTATTTCTAGGGGGGTACAAATGTTCTCATTTTTTAAGTTATTTATGTATATATAATTGTCCTTTTTATCAATACTGTAATTACATTATTTCCCCTTCTCTTCATCCTTCCAAGCCCTGTCATCACCCCCCCCCCCCCATGCCCCACTTACACTGATGGCCTCATTTTGATTATTGTTACATATATAAATACAGTCTGCTGGGTCTGTAAAATAACTGTCTTTTATAAAGCAGGTTACGTATCCCTGCACTCTAAGATTTAACTATACCGAGTGAACGTGATCTCTTTATAGAAATGGCAGTGACTCAGATTTTTTTAGTAAGTAGAAAGAGGTCAGAATTGAGTTACTTGCCAAAAGTCTGAGTAAGGTGAGGCACTTGTCCCACCTCAGTATGTTACACACTTAGGCACTCTACTTTAAAACTTTTCCAGTATTCATGCTTTAACAATCATTAACTCAGGCCAATACACTTTTCAGAAACAGGACACAGGTGATCCACCTGTAATCCAGGTTACCAAAATACCTACTATATCACTTGGCTTTTTTTTTTTTTTTGCTTTTGGAGACAGGGTTTCTCTGTGTAGTTCTGATGCCTGTCTGCCCTGGATCTCATTCTGTAGACTAGGCTGGCCTCGAACTCACAGAGATCCGCCTGACTCTGCCTCCCGAGCGCTGGGATTACAGGTGTGTGCCACCGCCGCCTGGCTTCACTTGACTTTTTAAAATTTGTGGCTCCACGAAGAACTCACTGAGACCCACTGGCAGTTTCCACAGCGACATGAGATCATGTAAATCTCTTGCTTCTTATTTACCTTGTCATCCTTCTTGCCACCCCCAGGACCATGGCCACCACTCTGACTTTGACCCTGTCAAAAAAAAAAGACAAAGATAAATTCAGAATACAATCACTTCAAAAGAACACCCCATTGGTGCTGTGATTCTAAAACACAGCACAAGCCCCATTGTAACCCTTAGAAACCTGAGAGCCTTGCAGCCCAGGTAAGCCCTCAGTGTGGAGAGATTCTGCAAATAACCATCTCTCAGAACCAAGACCCACTCTATGATGTAGCTGTCACTAAGGAGCCCGACAGAGACCACTCCTCTGAACCAGGAGGTTCAGAACTTGACATGCTTTAATATAAGCTATACCTCAGACTCCATGAAAGATGTTGCACATATTACACAACCATTTCTCTCTCCAGAAGAGTTCTGACAGCACCTTACCATGCTCCTGGCCTGCCAGTGTGGGGCTCCTGGACAAGTTTCTCAATATGAAAGGCTGTCACCTGAAGGTGTTACTTGATGTATTAAAAGCTCACTGGGATTTCCGATTTTAAAACTGCTGAACACAGGGCAATGACTCAAATTGAGGTATTTTAAATATCTCTGTGAAAATACATAGTTTAGCGCATGTGTGGGTGCATGTGCGCATGCCAGGGCACACATGTGGAAGCCAGAGGACAACTTACAAGAATTGATTCTTTCTATCTTGTGGGTCCTGGAGATAAAACTCCAGTGGTCAAGTCTGATGTCAAATGCCATCTCATCAGCCCAATGGTGGTGTTTTAAAGACGAGTAACAGTGAAGTAACTGATGAGAGAAGCCACTCAGTTCCCTTCAGTCATGCCCAGGAAGGTACCTCTAACTAATACACTGGCCGTTTCCTTATCAAGACAAAACCACCACAGGGTTACTGAGTAGAACTGATGTCAAACATGTTCCACCATGTGCAAGGTTCTTAAAACTTTGTGTTTTACTCTGAAAGTACGTAAGGACCAAAAAGAGAGTCTAGGAGGCAGTCATGTTGAAATCGGATGTGCAAGTTAGAGCCTTTAACATTTCCTTGCTTCCTAGGGAAACATGCTCATGTCTGGGGCAACCAAAGCTTAGGAGGTGTTTATTATGGGCCCAATTCTGTGCTATTTTTCCCTCACTACCATTAAAATTCAACACAATCCCAAAACAGATTTCATTAATCCCGCCACAGGCGGAAGAATTGTTGACAAGTCTGAGAACGTGGCCTGTGGAATCTGAATTCTGGTCCCACCACTAGACTATGCGGCTGTGGGTGAATCAGGATCCTCCACTGAGCTTGGTATCCTTAAGTGGATGATACCAGCTCCTTCCCACCTACTGCTGAAAATGAATACAGCAAATACACCCTTAGCACTTCTATGAACTAGGTTCTAATGATAGATTACTGGGTCAGGATTTTAACTGTCACTGTGGCTTCACGGGTGTTGGTCCAAATCCAACATGGTTGTATCCATCACACTCTATCTTCTGCCCCTCCCCCTCTTCTCTTCTAGCCCCTGCCTTATTTGACCCTCAGCCTCCCAGGAGAGAGCTATGACCCTCTAAAACAATCAGCTAATCACCCAGTCCTCCTCAAACCCATCGGCTGTTCTTTATGGTCCTTAGCTCAGCATGCCTAGCCTTCCCAGGTTCATCTACCATTCTCAAACCACTCCAGTTTGGCTACAGGTGGAAGTCATTTTCCTCATCTCTGGGATATCCTACATGTTTCTCAGTCTCAAAGAAGAAGAGCTAAACCTCTAATAAAGCTCTTAAAATATGCTGAGCAGTGTGCTAAGCATTCCTGGAATATTATCTCATTCGATTTTAAAAAGAGATTTCTTTTCTTAAAAGTGTGTGTGTGTGTGTGTGTGTGTGTGTGTGTGTGTGTGTGTGTGTGTGTGTGTGTTAGATTTCCTGGAGCTGGAGTTACTGGCGGTTGTGAACTTCCGGACATGGGTGCTGGGAACAGAACTTGGGTCCTCTGGAAGTGCAGCAAGTGCTCTTAGCCACTGAGCTATTCAATCCTTTACCCCCTCCGTTTACATATAAAGAGACCAAGGTCCAAAAAGGTTTATGCATATCGCTACAAAGCTTGTAAGATACAAAGGCAGAAATCACACTAAGGTCTTCTCTATAGCAAACCCTGGGTGTTTAACCGCTCTAGAAAAGATAGGGTCTGTATTCCACCAATGGCCACTTGCTGCCTTTCAGTTTCCTCACTAAAACGGGAATATTAATAATTATCTTCGGGGCTGTTCCAAGAAATAAGAACTATAAGGAAATGTCCGGTGCACGTTCAGAATACTTTTCATAATTCTTCACAGGACCTTTGTGTGGTCTGGCCTTGCATCTCAGGCTGTTTCAGGTCCTTTGAATTTTCTAACCCTTCTGCCCGGCCCCTGCTTCCCTCAGATATTAGCACGGATCACTACTCCCTTACTCCCCCAATTTCGGTCTCTACTTTCACATCCTCGGGGGGCCTTTGCTGACACCCTAACACAAACAGCCGCCTCTCGCAACACAGCCACGTAACGATGGTTGACCCGGCCCTGCCCGATCCTGCTCCCTGACATGTTTACTGTCTCCCTTCTCTGGAACGGAAGCGCCCATGGAGGCAGCGACGTGGTCCACCGAGCTCCCCCGTTACCCGCAGTACCCAGACCGGACTCCGGCCCAGCGGGAGAGCGCTGAGTCGTCGGCGGCTTGAGTCCCACGCTGGTTCCGTGGCTCAGCCGCTGTCACCCGGCGTCGGCCGGGCTGCCCGGCTCGCCCGGCTCACAGCAGGTCTGTCCCCGGGGTTCCGCGGGCCGCCGTCCGTCCCGCCCGCGTCCGCCGAGGAGCACGCCCCGCTCCGACCCACGCTCAACCCGAGCGCCGCGGCCCCGTCCCTCCGTCCGCCGCGGGGCCCAGGCCCGGGCCCCGTCGCCTCCTCCTCCCGCCTTCGGTGCCCGCGACCACCGGCCGAAACCCTTAGTCACTCACCATCTTTTCCCGGTCGTCCTAGCCGCCACCGCCGGAAGTGCATCCACCAAAACGACCCCGTCAGAGGCGGAAGTGACTAAGAAAAGCTACGGACGCCTGGAAGGACCAACTCCCTCCAGGGCGAAGTTAAACGCGAAGGGCTCGTTCCTAGCTGTTTGGTACAGACAGGGATTGGTTAAACCCTTGTGGACAGAACTTAAAAATAGTTTACCCGAGGGAATTCTAAATAGCTACTGTTGGGCTATTGTCCGTAACTTAAGACAAGGGTCTTCGTTATCAAAGAATTAGGGCAATTTTGAAAATTAAAAAAAATTAAATTATGCAAAAATTATAACTGGAAAGAAGTATTTGTGCCAAGAGCTGGAATGGTACTTGGGACTGAGAAGTTGATGTGTGTGTACACAGCTTTTAAGTTCTTTAGTTTCTGGAATTTGCCAACTTTCCTGAGAATGCTAAAGTTACCTAAACTTGTGAGTCCCCCCACCCCATGACAAATGACTGATGATGATGGCAAATACTGTGTTAAAATTACCCTTGAGGGGCTGGAGAGATGATGGCTCAGCAGTGACAAGCAGGGGACCCAGGTGGCAGCTACCAACCATCTGTAACTCCAGTACCGTGGGATCTGTCGCCCTCTTCTGGCCTCAGCATGCACTGCATGCACATGGTGCTCATAATCAATGCAGGCAAACACTCAAATACATTAAATAAATCTTTTTATTTTTATTTTTATTTATTTATTTTTTTCCGAGACAGGGTTTTCTCTCTGTAGTTTTGGTGCCTGTCCTGGATCTCACTCTGTAGACTAGGTTGGCCTCGAACTCACAGAGATATGTCTGGCTCTGCCTCCCAAGTGCTGGGATTAAAGGCCTGCGCCACCACTGCCCGGCACATTAATTGAATCTTTAGAAACATTAAAAAAATTACTCCTTAAAGTAGTGGGAACGTTTTTTATTATTAATGTGTCCATGGTAACGTCACAAAAATGTCAGCTACCCTTTCTACTTCCAGAAATTTCCATTAACAGGTACTCAAGACTTTGCATTGTGCCGAATAGACTGTTTTTTGTTTGTTTGTTTTTTTGCAGCCCCAAATTAACTTAGGCATTTTAGGGACACAAAGGATGTTTCACTTATTAACACACAGCACATACATTCTTTCCTGCCAAGTATTGATAAAATACACACTAAGTCAAACTTTTGACTCTGAAATAAAGGGTTTACAGAGTCACTACCCCCCACCCTTGTGCCTCCCCCAAAAGAACCCCACCAAGTCCAATTTGTGTTCCCGTGTACTCACTGGAGCACCCACAATGGGATGGCTCCCAGCTTCTGGCAACTCCAGTTCCAGGGGATCCCACACCCTCTAGGGCATCTAGGGCACCTGCAAGAATGTGGTGGGTAAACCCACACATGTACACATAAATAAAATAATTAAAAATGTAAAAAGAGAGTATGGACATTGAAAATGGACAGAGTCTAAAGGAGACTGAGGAGGGACACCCACTCCTTTTGGGACCCTGGCCAGGTGTTAAGCATTACTATTAATTAGTGTTATTAGCGTTAATAACAATGAATGGAAAGTTCTTTAAGTTCTTTTTTTAATTAAAGATTTATTCATTTATTATGTATGCAGTGTTCTGTCTGCATGTATTCCTTCTTGCCAGAAGATGGCACCAGATCTCATTATAGATGGTTGTGAGCCACCATGTGGTTGCGAGGAACTGAACTCAGGACCTCTGGAACAGCAGTGCTCTTAACCTCTGAGCTATCTCTCTAGCCCAAATTATTTATTTATTTTCATTTTATTTGTATCAGTGTTTTGCCCACATGTATATCTTGTGTGAGAGTGTCAAATTCTGGAGTTACAGGCAGTTGTGAGCTGCCATGTGGATGCTGGGAATCGAACCTAGGTCCTCTGGAAAAGCAATCAGCTCTCTTAACCACTGAGCCATCTCTCCAGCCCCTCTTTAAGATCTTAATGTAAGTAGTCCTTATGTTCTTTTTTCTAAGCAAGGGGGAGAGGAAATCTGACTCCATAATTAGCCACTATTGGACTCTGTCTTGGTGCCCTGGCTACTTTGAACAAGAGGACTGTTAGTCAAGCAGCCAGCATCATTGAGTATTTTGAATACTCCACAGCCACCCTGAGAAAACCATACACAATCACAGCTGATTGCCTTGGTTGTCTCAAACACGTTGTACCAGACTTTTTGCTATTACCTCAATGAACTTCGGGTGACCCTGCAATCATTTCCACCTCGGCCAGATGGGGCTCATTTTCCCAGATGGTCCGGCAGAGGGCCCGCTGTAAGATGGGCGTTAAAGAGGCAAGGTGATTGGCGCAAACACAAACTGCGTCAGCACACGGGGTGTGGTCTGACTATCCTAACCTCCTTCTCTGCCTATGTATACTGGGCGCTCGTTGAATTGACTGGTAGGCACTGCCCTGCGCTGCCTCCTGGGATGCTGTAACATTAGGCTCCATCAAAGTCTTCCTTTGAGTGTTCTTTTCTTGCCTGCTTTCGTGGTAAAGGCAGGAAGTGAAATGTACCCTGGAGGGGCTGGAGACAGGAACCGGTGACCAGCGAAAGCAGCGGCAGGAACAGCAGAGCTGTGGTGATGGTAAAGGCAGCGAACCCACAGCGGCAGGAACAGCTTAGATCAGCACTGACGGCTGAGCAATTGGTAAGGCGGCAACTGACGGGCCTGACAGCATTCCGAGCCGGAAGAGTGATGTATGAACAGAGAGACCTGTCAAGGAGCGGAGAGCTGAGGCTGTGAAAGGCTTGCAGGGACAGTGAAGAGATGCTGCAGGTACTGGCCGCTGGGAGAATTCCAGAGAGTGTTCAGGGCCAAGGGTCTCAGATACCCCAGGCCAAGAGCTTTAAGAGTGGCTGGTATTAAGTACTAAGGAACCCTGGCTTCTGAGGTCTACGATAGAGCTATACTAACAGGGATGCTGTCAGCTGCTGAGGAGCCCCGGTGTGTAGGCTCACCTGGAAGTTGCCTTGCCAGCTGCAGTCACAGGCTATGGGGTTCCTGAAGGACCGGGACACAAGAGCTGCCATGCTTGTAGAGTTCGGGGTCTCACTATCCAAGACCTGTAGCAGGACCAGAACACTAGAGGGCGCCACCTGCCGCCGCCGCCACCTGCTGCCGCCGCCACCTGCCGCCGCCGCCACTGCCACCACCTGCTGCCGCCGCTGCCTGCTGCCGCCACCACCTGTCTGCTGGGCTGCCCCCTGCTGCTGCTGTCCACTATGCAGGAGCAAGGGAGGCAAAAGCTGCCAAAAGACAGCAAACACTTAAAGGGCTGCTTCTTACCTATGTGTGATCTCTATCAAGGGAGAACAAAAGGACCTAAGCCAGGTGGTTGGTGACGTGGAGATCGATCACGCCACTAAAATTATACACACACACACACACACACACACACACACACACACACACACACACACACACACACACACACACATTTGGCTGCATTTAGAAGACAATGGCCTCCTTAGCACACAGGAAAAGAACGTGTTCATTCCCTGTGGGAGGCCAGCTCCCACCTTTTAAAAGGGTTCCTATGAGGAGGAGAGATGGATAAGAAACTTTTAGATAGAAAGATAGCAAAGAGGAGAAAGAAGCACAGGATATCTTCAGGAGGACCTGGATCAAAACCCAACGGTCCCTTCTGTCTCTTTAAAAGGGCTTTGGATAACAATGCCAAGGGGCAGGGCAAAAGACCTCCCCCTTGCTAGATCAAAGCACACGCAGAGCCAAGTGTCCCTTCCAAACACCTGGGAACCAGGCCTGTGGTCAAATCATTCCCCGTATGCAGCCCTGCTCGGTAAAGCAAGCTCAGATTCTCGGACCCTGAGTAAGTTCTCACTAGGAAACCTCTGTGGGTCTCTACAGTCCCCCCTGCATCCCCTCACTTTGATGATTAACGTTGAAGTTGTGAGTTAAAAATGAACTTGGCCAGGGGTGATGGATGGCATGCACCTGTAACCCAAGCACTTGCATGGCAGGGGCCAGGGGATGGTGAGTCGGAGGCCAGCCTGAACCCCACTGAAAAATGAAGAAACGAACTTTTTTAAAATAGGCAGACAGATCTCTGTGAGTTGGAGGCCAGTCTAGTCTACATAACAAGTTCCAGGCTAGCCAGGGCTACATAGGCCCTGTCTCAGAGGGAAAAAAGGCTGCAAGCAGAAGGTTTAAGGAACTCTATTAAATGTGGTGTACTACAAGACTGGCCAATGCCGAGGGCAAGACCGGCACTATCTGGGATGCTGGGGAATGGAACCTCAATATAACCGAAAGGACAGGAGGGGTCCTAACAGGCCAGCACACTCAAAGGACAGGCAGGTCACCAATGCTTAAGACTTGACTTCATACACAGGCAGAGGTGCCTCTCCACACAGTTTTCTGTGGGTCTCCTCTGCCTCTCCACACAGTTTTCTGTGGGTCTCCTCTGCCTCTCCACACAGTTTTCTGTGGGTCTCCTCTGCCTCTCCACACAGTTTTCTGTGGGTCTCCTCTGCCTCTCCACACAGTTGTCTGTGGGTCTCCTCTGCCTCAGTCACACAGTTTTCTGTGGGTCTCCTCTGCCTCTCCATACAGTTTTCTGTGGGTCTCCTCTGCCTCTCCATACAGTTTTCTGTGGGTCTCCTCTGCCTCTCCACACAGTTTTCTGTGGGTCT